GAGGGCAGGGAGTGTACACTTTTGTTTTAAATCTCCTGCCTACATTGAATTGCAACTGCAAGTAGGATATCTGACTCACTTCTCTCCCTCCTCCCTCCCGTTCACGCTGGAACCTCAAGTTGTGAAACAAACCAAACCTGTCCCTGCTCAATGCGGCCACACACGGCAACACCTTGTTTTAATGGCGCACTTGGCTGATGCTTCACTAGAATGGAATCCCGGCAGATGCAAGCAACGCGCTCGGTCCGAGCAAACTGAAAACTGCTCTCACAACGAAGTCCAGATATTATGCTGCGACCAAACGACAGACCGGGATTAAACTCATCACCTGCATCCCAAAAGCAAAGACAGCAAGTCTCCAGTCCCAGTCACCAGGTGGTCACTGCCCTCGGACAGAAGGAACTCTGCGAGCCCCCACCACCCGTCCCAGGGACTCCTGTGTGCTCTGCCCCACAGGAGACAAAGGGACAGATGCAACAGTCCTGCCGCCAGACACAGGACCCTCGTCATAAAGCGTCTCCGTACCCACAGTTGTAATCGTTTTTTCTCTGAAATACGAGCCCCCGCAGGACACTCTCTCCCAGCATCTGGCTCAGAGGGACGGCCTGCAGGGTGCCGGGGGTCCTGCTCTGAGCTGACGGGGGAGTCAGGAGGAGGCACAGGAGGCTCCCTCGACCAGAGCTATCCCATCTGTGCCTGCCCCGAGTCCTCTCCACGGGCCAACCGTCACACGGACGGTCAGAAACTAAGGGAGCCGTGAAGACACAGATCGTGTGTTGAAACTCACTGTCACCCCCCAGAGAGAAGGTCTGCCACCGAGAAAAGGCGCAGCTGCATCTGCCCAAGACAGAGCCGAGGCGAGGCGAATCGAAGTGTTTGGAGCAGAGAAGCACGCAGGTCCCGCAGCTGCCCTGCAGGAGAAACGTGCACATCTGCCGCTTCTTTTCGGCCACGGAGGCACGAGGCGAAAAAGCAAACCGAGACACCACACCTAAGCTCTCCAGGCCCAGCTCTCCGGGCTCTGGGCGTGCTCCAGCAGGAGCACGTGGTGTGAGGCTCCCGCACCCCTGGGGTCACTACCTCTTTAAAAGGCTCGCTCAGTGCTCTCGGAGGGCACAGGCACTCGCCGTGGACCGAGAGACACCAACCTGCCACGCTCCTGCACGCCACGGGTGCCCTTTCCTACCAGCGCTGCCCTGGACGAAGGGCTCTCTCAGGCTTGGGCGTCCACACAGCTGTTTTCAGTTTATAATTTCCACTGCTCTGTACTGAAACATCACTCACCCAACAATCAAGAAAAATTACTTCCTGGTGGCAAAAGTGCCCTTCGATGGCGGGCGTTTCACCGGAGAGTCCAGGATGTGACTCTGCTGATGAGACCCCTGTGTGCTGAGACAGGCTCCCCTGCCGGGAACGCTCTGCGCGATTCGAGGTCCAGCCCGATTTTTGCACCGCAGGTGGCCTCATCCCGATGCACCGATCCTCGGTGCCTCGATGCTTTCTGGGACCCCCCCCCCCCAGCACAGGGAGCACAGCCTTGCCAGGTGTGAACACAGGCAAGGTTTCTTGCCACAGTGCCCAGCGCAAAACAGGCGTTCAAGAGCTCATTCTCTCTCGGGAACTGCTTTTCCTCTATTTATTTTAGATCTTGAGGCTTTGAGAGGCCCTCACTTCATATCACTAACCAAATTTCAATGCCGTTGTAAACTCTCAGACTTACAATCCAAGCAAGACCTAAAACCCCAGGCTGAGACGTGCAACGTATCCAGAACTGCGCCCTGGGTTTTGGCTCCCAAATGAGCAGAATACATAATCCCAATTACGAGTTATTTGTCTCCGCAAATAATTGTGTTATATTTGGGACCCCAGGCTCGCCCATGGAAGCCTACATAGTACACCCGCAATGCACCTGACCACAGTACCGGTGTGTTGGCCGTGGACGGGGGGCCTGCAGGTATCTGCCGGGTAAAGTCATGAATTCCTGCCGTGGGGGCAGGTGCACCGCCGCCTCTGCGGAGATCTTCAGGGTCCCAGTGTGCGTTCACCGTCCTCCTACCTCCTGGACATGACCCCTGTCTCTCAGTCCTCTCTCCCCAGAGGGACACGTGCCCTCCTGCCTTACAGATTCTCAGTGCTGGCGCCGGAGCACCAAACCGTAAGGTTTCAGAGGGAACCATTTCTTCTGCCAAAACCACCTCGAGCAGCTCACTGCCGCTCCACATCAGGAGGGGAGGTCTGGTTAAGTTAATCCACAGTGAAACGCTGGACTGTGACTTGCCCAGAGGTCCCTGACTCTTTAGAAGAAGCCGAGTACCCAAACGACCCAGCCTCGTGTGGAGCACAGAAAAATGAATGGAGTAGCTCTGCCTTTCTAAGTGATGTTCTTCTCTGCCATCACTGTGAAAACTCATGGCTTCTTACAAGTTTCATTACTTCCTCGAGTTCCATGGTGGCAGTGGGTATATGATTAGCTGAAGGACGCGTCCAGGGACAGTGTAAGGTGAGTCTGGCCTTGATGGCGTTTTCTCCAGACTGGAACATAAGCTGACTCATGTGTCCTCGAAACACAGCGTCACCACCGAAGGGTGCAGAGGTCAACACCGGGCCAGAATTCTGAGTTTCCTCATCCTGGTGTCGCCAAAAGGGTCTACTGGTTATCTTGTTAAAAAAGTGTGGCGGGGGGAGGGAATGCCTCCGATCTCCCATAAACCCTCGTGTTTGTGGAGCGTGAGCTGGGACTGAGAATCCACAGACGCATCCTACTTGGAACGAGAAAGTGGTTACTTTCAGAACAGGAGCAAAAAAAGTCTGCCAGGATCCCACACATGTGGTACAGTGTGCACCCAGCGGCCGATGGCCCCCATTTTGCTCAGTGTGAAAGCAGCAAGCGTCAGCCTGGCCAGGGAAAGCAAATGCCCAGACCCTCAGTCCCAACACACACTTGAAATGGGGGCCTAACACCAGCTTCGAAAGGCAGAGCCTCATTCAGAACAGGCACAGCCCTGTCCCCCAGCAGGACGGCACCAACAAGTCAAGTCAGCCCCTGGGTCTGGAAGGGGAAATGAAACCCAATTTACCTGCAGCAATTGACGATGCTATTAAGGCTACTCGAAACACGCCTCTAACATTTCTCTTCCACGCGAATACGCTGAAGGCCACACACTAAAAGCAGCCATTATCCCCACTGTCATCTTGGCTTTCGTTCCTCCCACCCGGTGACACATCGAACAAACAAAGGGCCCTGCCCATGTGCCGCGCACTGCTGCCAAGTTGTCCACGCACCCAGACAAGTGTTTATTGGCCCTGACGACGCTGAGGCACAGAGGGAGCTGGCCACTGCCGCCTTTCTACTTTCCTAGGGGCGCAAGGGGAGAAAAGCAAGCCCGTGAACCCAAGGGCTGGCACAAGGTCACCAGTCCGCCGGGAGACTGAGCTCAGGACTTCCGTGGTCTCACTCACCGCCCCCACAGCCTCTCCGGTGGCCCTAACGGCTGTATTTCCCTGGTGTTTCCTAAGAACAGAAGCACCTGGGGGGCACAGGGCCAGCTTTCCTAAAGGCTGTCTGTAGCCAGCACACCGAGTCCTACTGTGACATTTAACTTCAAAACCACTGCAGCGACAATGACATGAAGTTTGCTTTTCCTCTAGTAGCTCCCCTGTGGTGAATGCACTGTTTAATCCAGTACCCAGCTCGGGACTGAGCGGCCTGGGACACCTGCCCAGGATCCAGGGGGTCAGCAAGTGCCATGCCTGCAGCTTCCTCACAGATGGGGGGGACCCCAGTACTGCACCCTTTGGTCCACAGACACACGTCTGCCTCAGACATGACGGCCACCGTAGGAAGGGAAAGTGGTTGTAGCTAAACTTGATATAGTTCTCAAGAATCCAGCTATATAATTGGATCCCAGGCAGTGAAAAAAAAATTCTGCAGTAGTTAGCATCTAATACAGTGTATTTAAACTAATGAGCCCCAGCTGGTGTGGCTCGGCGGCTTGAGCACCAGCCTGTGAACCAAAGGGCTACCGGTTTGATTCCCAGTCAGGGCACATGCCTGGGTTGCCAGGTGCCCAGTAGGGGGCGCATAAGAGGCAACCGCACACTGATGTCTCTCTCTCTTCCCATCTCCAAAAATAAATAACATCTTAAAAAAGAAATAAATACCTGAACTCTAATCATTTAGTGAAGAGAGGAATTCTACTAAAAGGGAAAGGCAGAAATGAGCTAAGAATATGCTTAATTTTTCTTAGTAGGAACTATTCCAGTTAGCCAATTGACCACCTGAATCGGACACAATTCTCCACTCGTAGAAGCCCGTGGTGGAAGAATCTTAAGCATGCTGTCTTCTAAGGTGACAACATGAAACAGACCGCGGCCTACCATACTTGTATTTAAGGGCCTTTGTGAAACAGCCCCAACAGCTACGGGCACTGTTCCAACAACCTCACGCAGGCCGGCGGGAGGCAGGAGACGTCCACTCCGTCCACTCCGTCCCCTCCGTCCACTCCGAACGGGGAGCCAGACCCCCGTTCCCAGCGAGTGCGCAGGCTCCGCCCCCACTTGGGGCCCCACGCGGATGGTTCACGCACTGCACTTCCCATGTTAAGTAAGGCGTGTGGACAAAAACGGTCTTTTCTGGAGGAAGGAGAGGACAGAAAGGGGAGGAAGACAGTTTCGTGACATCTGGGAAAACGGTATACTTTCAGAAAATGTGAAGTGATGGAAAGACAAACAGTAAAAAATCCAGCTGGCACTGACAAGTGGGAAGAAAGCACAGGGCCGAGGAAATAGTAGCTATTTCTTCTCCAAAAGTCCTGTCCCTTCACACACGTCACGATGTATGGCTCTCCCCCATCTTCTGGGCCGTGCCCTTTCTCCCTGTTCCTCGGCAAAGAAATGAAGACACGCAGAACCGCACAACCCAGCAGCTGTCAACTCCCCAGGCCCCTCCCACCACCGGCAAAGCACAGGCAGCGCGAGCGTCCATGGACTGCATTACCTACCTTTGCTTCATCGTTAATGTCCCAAGTGAAGGAAATGGCATTGTAAGCGATCTCCTCGATGTTACTGATGGTGTTGAAGCTTTCTTTATAGTCAGCTACAAGGAGACAGAGAAAAAGCATGTGATTTCTCATTCCAACACGAGACACAGCAGTTCACAGTAGGACTATCACCTGTGGGTAACTCACATTAACATTCTGTTGGGTGGGAAGGAGTTTAAAAAGGAAAGACAATAGCCTGGCTGGTGTAGCTCAGTGGATTGAACGTGGGCCTGCGAACCACATGATCATGGTTCAATTCCCAGTCAGGGCACGTGCCTGGGTTGCAGGCCACTCCCCAGCAGGGGACTCATGAGAGGCAACCACACATTGATGTTTCTCTCCTTCCCTTCCCCTCTGAAGATAAAATAATAAAAAGGAAAGAAAAAGAACTTTCCTAATAGGGGCACGCTTAGGCGTATTTAATTTTACCTCACTATGCCAAAATCGGGATATTCAGGTCTACGGGGGATCAAACAATTGTACCAAGGCCACAAACTAGTCCAGAGGACCCAGCGTACAAATCGATTCTTTCAATTCCCTTGAAAAGAGAACACGAACATTCCAAGAGGGAAAGAAGAGTGACACTCAGATTTGGGGCCACCTGATGACAGAGATGACAGTTTCACACGGGGATGAGATGTACAGGACGAGAACGGGGGCTTCCACGAAGCCACTTCACTGGCTGTGCATCTGCTCGGTCTGCCGCCACCCCCGGGGTGGGGGTGTCTCCGGGTCCGTGTCCAGGCTCCGCAGGTAAGGTAGGGAGCCTGCCAGGTGGGTGCCCCTCAGCCCAGCTTCTCGGACTTAGGGACTGCTTTTTTTCCCCTCTACCTCACTTTTGTCCCCAAATAATCAGAACGTCATAAAGATGTTACCCTGCAAAAAAGTTGCAGATCAAAAAGCCGACCCTCTTAGGGGAACTGGCCATGCAGCTCTGGCCCCAGCGGCACAGGGAGAGCCACTGGCAGGGCTCGGGGGACCGGACACCTGTCCCTCTGAGGGAAGTAGTATCGGGAGCACTGACTCCTGGGGGCCAACGGCAGTGTTTGGAGAGGGTCAGTAGCTGGCATAAGAATTCAAATGCTTTCGGCAGGAAGCTGATCGCTGCCAAAAATAATCGGATTTAGAGAAGGGGACACCGCGCCTCCGGGAACGAGGCCGTTGGCTCGGGCTCCTCACCGATGTCAATGCATCTTTGTTTGGCCGTGTGCTGCCGAGAGTGCCAGTACTTCCAGTGCCTCAGCTGGTCCTCCCTGCTCTTGTCTTCCGCAAACACCACCATGATCACGCTCTGCGGAGGAGAGTCCGTCACAACACAGACAAGGCGGGCGAGCACCTTTTGGAGGGCTGACGCAGGGTCAGACTTTACAGGGAGGGCTTAGAACTGCCCCGACATCATTCAGGTTGGCCTCAGAGCTGGAGCTGGTGAGCCTCCAGGGCGTCCCCCGGGGCAGCACGGACGGCAGGACTCACCCGCACTTTGTTGATGGGGTGGTGGACCCCCTCGCTGCTGCTCACTTCCTTCAGGGTGACCGGGTAGAACTGCCCTTTGTTCAGGTATGTCATTGTGCTGTCTCCCGGCTTCTGGCGAAGTGACTTGGAGGCTTCCAGCGTATATTCGAAGTTGTTCCTGAAGAACAAGAAAGTTCCCAGACATGTAACCGGCTCCCTCGAAGCTTCCTGGGTGCTCTAGCTCGGCTTCGCCCTGCTTCGGTGTGGACTTAGGACACGAGCAGGCTGCCAGGAAACCTCCAGCTGACCACTGGCTACTGCTGCCGTGATAAATATAATCTGAGCAACACGCAAGTCTCCACCCTCACAGATGTGGGACAATTAGATGTCGGAGGCCATGGGCACCACAGACTGGACACTAATGAGCGGGAGGAAATCTCGCGGATGCGCGGCCAGTCTGGTGTTTACCCAGCAAAGGCTGCAAACGGGTGGCTAGCAGCCCTCCGATTAGATTCGATGGAGTCTGCACAGAGCTTTTTGGTTGTTTTTGCCTGTGATTTAAATGGCTTTAGAGGGCACTCCAAACTCTCTACATTCCCTACCAACTAAGGGCACCGTCCCTATAGCCCCCTGAAGTGGTTTAATCACCAGGGGTTGGCAAACTCCCCCCATCTTTATAAATAAGTAGATTTCTGTAAATAAAATGGGAACCGTACTGGAGGCCAGCCTCGCCCTTTGGTCGTGTGCATCCACAGCCGCGTCGGTGCCCCAGCCGCGGAGCTGGGCGGCTGCAGCCTGTGCCATCCGGCTGGCCCTCCGCAGACAGCATCCGCCCCGGCCCACACCCTACAGGCACTGGGGCTTGTGACCTCAACACCTTGAGACACGCACATCTCTAAGGGAAGTCTCGATTCCCATAAAAGCCTCCAGTTTTAAATAAAACTTTTTTTACTTCAAAATATAAACACATAAAGATACACAAAACAAAATTATAAAATGAAATTCTTAAACTCTTTTCAGAAAATCTGAAGGTGTTTTTATACTGTATTTTGTCATGCATAATCGATGTCCACGGTTTTGGCCCAAACTTTCAGGAAAAAAATCTTTAGTTTTAATTTTTTAATTCAATTTTTTACTTTTAGATACCTTTTTGTATTATAAAGGAATTTTAGGATTTGTTTTTTTTTAACATATTGTGGAACAAGAAATTCTACGTAACAAATAATTACAAAACACAAGAACAGACACAGAGTACGAAAAATTTTCTTTCTTTTTGGCCCCGTGTCTAATTTTTATTCTGAAATGTAAAGCTCTTCTGAGTTAAAAGTACGGCTGACAGACAATATTGTACTCGTTTCAGGTACAGGACATGGTGAGCTTTCACATTTATAGACCTTACGCAGTGGTCACCACGATAAAGCCCACTGCCATCTGCCACTGTACGAAGTTACCGTGACATTATTAACACTCACGTTGTACTTTATATCCCCGTAAGTTTGCGGTACAAGAAATTTTATGCACAGATGACAAATCAGTACTACCCACGTGAATCCGCATCCTTGCTTTTCCCCTCAAAATTTTGGGCAAAAATGTGCACATTATACATGGCAAAATATGGTATGTTCGTGATTAATTTGGTAACTCTTCATACTCCCGGTGTGAGATGCCATTTTGTGAGGTTTAAAAGAAGCTATCAGGTCAGAAAAACATTGACTTTGTTTATTTTCCTATTAGTGAGGCTACCGGAAAAATAAAAGCCTTTACTGACCTGATGTTATTCTTAAATGCTCCCAGAATTATACACTTTTGGAAACAGACTCTGGGGACCTCAGAGATCTAACTTAATGCCCTCACCTCTTCTTTTAGGTCCCATCCTACGACCATCACCTAAAGAGAAACCAAAAGAAAGAAAGAGCCCGACACCAGGAGTGAAGGAACGTGGAGCACAGCTCGGAGCCCGAGAGTGTGGGGGGGAGAGGCCCTGCAGCGCAGCAGCCGCAGCGAAGAGACACCAGTGAGAGCCCGCTAGCGCCACCGCAGATTTTCCAGCATCCAGTTAGCAAAAGAGAACTGAGCCATAAAAGCTGAGAGGTAAAAATCAAATTAAAAGGCAACTATTACCCAGCAACATTGTCAAAAACATAGTCCTCTGAATTCATGCCAGGCATCCGCAGACTGAGGTCCGAGGGGAAGAAAACCTGAAATATCAATGTAAGGAGCCACAACTAGTTAACTGGTTATCAGCTCTGCTGCCGGCCGACGTCAGGCACAGCAGAAAGCCCGTGGCTTACAGCCACCCATTCCTCTTTCATCATTCATTTGTAAATACAAATTTTAACTCTATGAAAACAAAAAAAATTACAAAGAAAGAAAAAGAGCTATTGTGCATACCACTCAGGTGAACTAAAACACTCTGCATGAGCACCCCCACAACGCGCCAAGCCCCTTCCCATCTTTCCCACACACCCTGACTCTGTCCACTTCTAGAATCTGCAGCCAGACTCTCCCGACGTTGGGAGTCGGCACCATCACTGCACCAAGTTCAGACAGGGCACCAAGTCCACACACGGATGGGTGCACTTGCCTGGGAGAAGTGACTTCTCTACTCCTGACCCCGTAAGTGGAGGGATACCCCCCGCCGCCCCATCCTTAAACAGCCTCAAACATTTTCAGGGTCTTACTTGGACCTGAAAGAGGTCCAAGTGGACCTGAAAGAAGACTCAGGAACATTTGTGGTCACTTGTGAATTTCACGCCACACACCTGTGAGCCAGACCCACCTGCCTCCCTGACGGTTCTGCAGACCAAGAAACACCAAGCACATGCGCACAGGGCCCACCATGTTAGATCAGGGCCAGTGCCCTGAGCTCGTTTTCGTCCAGCACAAAAGCCGACAACAGACTATGTGGACATAGCTGTTGCTGACGGAAAATTATCTACAGGGCTCTCTTTCTCCTTCTCCAGCAAATCACTTAGCTGAAATCGTTAACTGTGAACTCAGCTGCTGGTAAGATTAGCCGTGTGCCCTTGGTGATAATGTCTGGTTTTATAGGTTTAGCTTACAACTGACACCCATGGGTCTTTTCTCCATTAAAAAAATCCCACTTTTGTTCCTAATCCATTTGTTTCAGGCTGAGTTTCAGGCTTACATAACAGGGACGAGGTGGAACCCGACACTTAGACAAACACACAGCCGTCTGAGGAAGACGCTGTTGCTTCCTGTACCTCCTGCACGCCGTCCTTGAAGGTCTCCGAGAAGGTGGAGTCCGGAGTTCGCCTCTGCGAGTTTGGGGGTTGAGCGCCAGAGCCGAAGTGGTCGGTGGCCAGGTTGCGGTCAAACACCAGCACGCGATCGGCGGGCTCTGGGTGGTACACGGCCGGGGGGATCCCCACGGCAAAGCCGTGGGACTGCGTTTCTGTTTTGATGGAGTGGGTAGGCATCGTCGCTATGGAGACGGTGACTGTCGTATCAGGGACTGTTAGGTGGCCTCTCTTATCAACCCCCAGCTGGTTGCCGTGGGGAAGGACGATGTTGAACGGCATGTTTTTCAGCACCTGCACCCTGTTGTCGCCAGCGGGGACGAGGGGCTGCTCGGCGACCTGCGGTATGCTGTTTCTTTCGGAGAAAGAAAGAAAACTCTTTCAGTGCCGACACAGTTCTTGGACAATTTGTTTCTAGTCCCCACCTGAGGATGTGCCCATTGCTTTTAGAGGGACAGGAAGGCAGGGGAGAGAGAGAGAAACATCCATGTGAGAGAAACATCGGTCAGCTGCCTCCCGTATATGCCCCACGCAGGTACCAAACTCACAGCCGAGGCATGTGCCCTGACTAGGAATTGAACCCGTGAACTTTGGGTACATGGGACAATGCTCCAAACAACTAAACCACCCAGCCAGGGTGGACGATTTTTATGCTCCTAATGGCACCGGGCTGTTGGGTCCTGTGCAGCGATTACAATACGCGTGGCAGAAACTAGACACAGATGCTGGGGAACGAGAAGATGGCTTCGCGGCAACAGGTCGATAAAATCCAAAAGCGTTAAGTGAGATTCCACTTGAACACCGAGACCTGAGAGCTCTGGTCTGATACCCTTCATTCCCAACAATTCTAACAATGCTCCCAAAATTCACGAGAACCCTGAAGCTACAAAGACGTCTAGTCGGGTCAGTCCAGAAGGGCGGCTCCTACAGCCTCTGAAGTCAGGCTCCTCTGGTTCAAATTCTGTGTGACCTTGAGCAAGTCATTCACCTCTTCTCCGGGATGGGGACAACAATGGTGTCTGTCCTCAAAAGGTTCTGATGAGGGTAAATTCGTGGACACTGACATAAATGCGTGCAATAATCCCTGGCACACAGGGCTCAAGCCGTGTGAGCTGTTCCTAGTACTTACGCCTGTTTGGCCCTTCTCTCTCACCAAAAGGAAACCTGTGACTACATTGTACCTGCAAATACATCTGCATAAAGTTACTTTGCTCTAATGAATATCCTGGGCGATGTAAGATGTCGTCTGGTCTGGAGTAAAATTCATAAGTTTTCAAAGCCACCTCAAATCATAGAGGCTGATACTTTTAAGAAAAAAAGCAATTTGGCAACTTAGTACATTTCAGGATTGACAAAATGTCAAACTGTTTAAATTCACACCCAGGAATGTTTCCTAAGGGAAGAGAAAAAGGGAAAAACTGCCCAGAAAATAGATTACTGAGGTTCTGTGCCAGTAAGAAAACACTGTGCTGCCTTCGTGTGAGGTACAGCCAGTTCCGGGGCAAAGCGTGAGACCCTGACCCCCACCAGCTCATGTCGTCATTTGGCTCGGAGAAATGCTCATCAGTGGCTTAAAACAAATCATAGGAAATAAAACAAAATACTCCAGCAAAGACGAATTTAGGCAATCAGTGTAAAAGTTGAAGAAGGCAGAAGAGTGGACCGAACAAGAGAATTACACTGGAAACTGATGAAGCTGGTAACGGCCCGCAAGGCTTTATGTTATCCCCCCCGCTTTTGCTGTGTTTGAAATGTCCATAATAAGAAGCAGAAAATAAAAGCCATAAGCCTTTTGCCAAAGGGTGATTATGAAGATTAGAAGAGCAACACCAACATGCTTAGGAAGCACATTAAGTGGGAGCAGGCTTGCTGCCAAGCCCCCCCCCCCGACAGGCACACAACTGCAAGATGCGCAGACCGGAGTGTGAGCCCCTGAGTGCACACGGTCAGGGCGGCGTGGTCCTGGGCAACGCCTTGTCCCTTAGCGGCCTTTCATTCCTTTATAACTGACAGAATGCCGCAAGGCAACTATGAAGGTATATTTTCAATCTTTTCTTAAGCCTTAATTAATTTTTTTAAAGTTTTAACCTGAAATATTCAAAAAGTAACTTCAACAGGAATTTGGAAAACAGCTAAATGTACTGTATTTACTCAGTATTTCCGAATGGACCGCACCACTGCCCTCGGCCACACCCTCCTTAACAGAGCATCAAAGACAAATAAGCTTGATGTTATTACTAAAAACACCCCTTTGGAGGAGGAGGAAGTTCATGCTTTGTTTCGTAGAAAATGCAACCACGTCTAAAGGAACTGGCACCTTCTCAAAGCCACAGAATCATGATGAGTAAGCGGCAAATCAGTAAGGAAATCTGAATTTAGATTTTCGGAGCCCCCACAACCTATCTTCCACATGCACTTCCTCACTGAACAAACTCCTGTTGTACTTTCAGACACCGGGCATTTTTCAAGAGAACCATTTCATGCTCAACACCGGACTTTACCTTTTGCTGGGGTCCGCCTCCGGGTGCTCCAGGTCGGCCTTTGCTGTTGACGACCTCCTCTCTCTGGGGACCTGAGACAGTAACACACACGACAATAATTTAACCCTTACGCAGGGAGGCAGGGATCCAGCCTATTCTTTCCGGTCAGTCCAGGCCTTCATCTCATCTACTAAATGCCTCCAAAAGCCGGGCTCTGGGGACAGGGTGAACGAGATAGCGTCTGCCCCGCAGAGCCGACAGGCTGGTCACCAAGTGGCAATGTAAAAACCAGCTACTACTCAACTGAACAAACTCAGGGCCTCGCACACCTTCTGTCCCCAGGGCTGGGTTTCATCTTTTAAAGGAAAATACCCATGGCCTGGCTTTACCCACTCTTCTGCACAAGGCAACGGACCAGGAGCTCCTGACAACACAGCGGGGCTCTCTCCACCTTCTTGCCGCTCTTCTTGGCCACCCCTCCTCTCAGACCAAATGCACAGTGGCAAGGATCGGCCACGTGAACAGCGCATTCCCAACAACCAGATGCCGGTGTCAGGGATATGTTTCTTCAGATACTGTGGAATTCTTACGGTCCATGACGACACACAGGACAAATAGCACTCAGGTTGCTCTAACCCTTCTTGGACTCTGCTCTTCTCTGCACGGGAGGCGAAGGCAGGCAGACACCGTAGGGTGCGCTGCAGACCCCCCACCCGCTAAGCCTGCTCCCAGCGCCTCATCCAACGCCGCCTCGGGGTGTGAGACTGGTTTTCAATGTGTGTGTGTGGGAATCCTATTCCCACCTTCTTACTTTACCCGTAAAGAAGGAAAAAGTATTGTTTCATGTATGAACAATGTGCTTTTAAAGCTTCACTGAAGCTGTTATGTGAAAACGACTAATGGTTGCACCTAAAAACCTGAACCACTTAAAACCTGGTCATTTTAAAACAACAAACAAACAAACAAACCCCCTGCACCTGTCAAAAGCAGCTTGACACCGAGAATTGCTGAGACTGTCTCCCTAATGAACAGACAAAAATCTATCCCCTCCTATGACCTAAAACACACCCAGAAGACTGTTGGAAACACGCACAGAGCCACTGCAGTCGGGACTGTTACGTCACCTTCCTGGCACTGACCGTGCGGGTCTTCTCCCACCTTCCAAAGTGTCAGTTACAACTACGCAACTTCAAACTTCATAATTGATACTTAGGAACGTAGGGTTTTTACACTGACTTAATAAAACGAGCCATAAAGAAAAGAGATTATATAATAAGTTCCACTTCAAAGGAACGTTAGTGGCTGAACTTCCCCGACAAGGGTCTCCTCCAGCATCATTAGTTAGGACGAAGGTTTCCATCCATATTCAAAGAGAAAAGATACTTACCTCCCTCTCTGAAATATGAGCTGGCCACATGACCTCCTATCAGAAAATAATTAGGCCTTTTGTCTAGGTCCCATCCTAACTATCTTCTTTGCTTTTTCCCTTCCGTATTTCTTGTATTCAGTAAAGAACACAAGGCCAGAACGTAATGCAATGCAGGCAGTCGGGTGACCTAGGACTCAGGGGTGTCCAACTCATTTTCACAGGGGGCCATGTCAGCCTTGCGGTTGCCTTCAAAGGGCTGAATGCAATCTTAGGACTGTATAAATGTCACTACCCTTAACTGCTAAGGAGCTGAAATTACATTCAGCCCTTTGAGGCAATCTCAAGGCTGATGTGGCCTCCTGTGAAAATGAGTTGGACACCCTGATCTAGGTGACAGTACTAAGGAGTTACTTTAAGTCTTCTATAAGTGTGGGAATTTTAAAAACAAAAAGATGACTAAATAAACTGGAATATGGAGCCATCCTCCCATATTAACCGCCGGTCAGAAGGAGGAGCTGCCATGGTGTGTCTGGCAAGCAAAGCGCAGCCCACAGCCGACGCGCGACACAGCGCGGCGATGACCTGTGCACAGACCAGACCAGGCCTGAGATCCGGGCAGCAACACGCACTCGCTGTGTGGCCTGAGAACTTAGCTTTTCTAATTGGCAAGTGAGAGGTACCACCACAGACTCTGCAGGGACTCTGGAGGTGTCGGAAGTGGTGCGCACACTGTGACCGGGCCCAGCGCAGCACCGGCAGTCAGTGAGTGGGAGCTAGTGCTGCCAGGACAATGACGATGACATGAGTCAGTGGTGTTGTGTCCATGGACACCACATGAAACTCCAGGCAGGGGACAGACTATATTTAATTAAGACTCATCTAGATCTTTAGAAATAGGCAGCAAAATGTATCCTGATCTCAGATCTAGGAAGTCCAAGATTGAAAAATAAGGTTGGTTCGTTTTTCATGAATCCTACAGTCAAATCAAAGCAAAGGCTCTATGATACCGGTTTAGGGAAAAGGCCATCACTCTGACTACACAGGGACGAACCACTGCGCCCTGATGGTGGCGCTGGGGACCACCTTCGGGGGAATGTTTGGTCTCTACAGCACACAGCAACTGGCTTCTTTTATGGGCATTTCACCTTCCACCTGGAGCTGGAGCAGCTGGCTACTCCACACGTCTCAGAAACAACCCTTTGATTCTATGATCGTAGATTTTCCAGCTTTGAACCATAGTAATTCAAAGTACTCATTAAACTATTATAGTCACTACAGAAGCAACTTGCATTACCCTCTCCCAGCAAATTACTGTTTTCCATGCGGTCCAATCAAGTGCGGGGGGGGGGGGGACCGCCGTCTGAAGAGCAGGGCGACCTACCTTGTAGTAGTCATAGAGCAGGCCCAGCGCGGCCGCGCTGTCCTCGTCCCCGTTGATGCTCATCATCGCCTTGGTGGCCGCGGTGAGGGGGTTTTCCAGGAAGGACTTCCAGGCCTCGTCCTCACTCGTGTAGGGGCGCCGCTGTGGGTAAAGCGCTTCATTCTGCAGAACCAACACTGGCCGTTTGCTTCAGAGAAAAGAACAATACTTACGTTAGGCTTTTCTGCCGCAAGGTATCATAAGCTAATTTTTAAAGCCAATTTTAATGATGTCGCAATAAAACTGCCCACTGTTTCCCCAACGACCCTATAAGGTAAATTAAGACAAGGCCCTAAGTCGGCCCCGCTAATGGCAGGCCAGGGGCCACCCAGTGAGATATGAGGCACTGAGGCCACCAGCGAACCTGCAGTTCAACTACACAGGGAACCCAGGATACATGATTTGGGAGGGGAAAAACAAAAAGACAACACTCCAAGAAGACTCGGGCCATCCAAACACCTCACAGACCCAAACACAAGGACAAAGTGAGATGAAGCAGCACACGCAGCCAGGACGGGGTCCTCTAAGAGGCCACCACTCAGTCGTCATGCCGCTACATGTCACTTCCCCCTTCCTCCTGCTGCTGCCGGCCTCCAGCGCCCTCCTGCATGCACACAGGGGCAGAGGAGGAGGGGGTGGAGAGCAGAGAGAAAAGGGCTGCTTCATTCCCCCTCCGGGGTATGTGAGAAAGTTAGAATATTCTACTGATTACCAGCAGATTGAGCGTGGAATGTGGCCACGGGGGACTGTAAATCAATGAGGATGCTCGACTTTCTGGAAGAGGAGCCAGCTGTTTATCTTAGAGATAAATACTTAAGAATCTATGACAATAAATGAAGACACTGGATAAAAGGATTTGTAAGAAAATAGGAGGGAGGGGATCTGTTTTTAAAAACCTTTTACCAGTTTTCTACGCTGAGCAACAACTGGTTCATTTTAACTGTACTTTGGTGGGGAAAATTCCAGAAAAATCACCATGGATGTTAGTAAACTCTTATGGAAGATTTGATTCAAAAGATTAAAGCAAACACTACTGATTCCAAAACTTGAAATGTACAGAAAAACTTGAAATTAAATAGAACAACTGTTCTATTTAATTAAATTTGAAATTAAATAGAACCAACTGTGCAGTTGGTTCTATTTAATAAGTCAATATAAAGAAAGAGTGGAACCCCAACTCCAGGAAAGTGAAGCAGTTTTTTTTTAAGGAAAAAAATGGAAATGTTTAGAACTACTCTGAATTATCACTATTCTAAGAAGCAAATTTCAGGATCAGTTCTCATTGCAACACACAAATGAAATATGTAAACTGCCTAAAGGTGACCTACCTACTCTAAAAGTGAATGTAGAAAGACCGATTATCTTTTCAAGTAATCAGCAAAGGTTAGGGTTTGGCAGTCACCCAGGCCCTTTAAAAACAGATACACATTTTAAAAAATGGAGAACATCTTTGAAGAAGGGGCTCGGGGAATCCAACAGCTTCATGTATCCTCAGCCAAAACTAAGTCTCAGTTCAAAGCCAGCGCTCCTCAGCTGTAGGCATGAAGTCTTAGGAGCTTATATTTGGTAGAAAAAAAGTCTTGAGGTGGTGTGCTATTTTAACACAAAACAAACACTGTGGCACTGTTCAAAAGAGGCAGTCTGTTTAGATATGAAAACTATTTGTACAAGTCTCGAATCAAAAAAGTCCATCGACATACACAAAGGGGTCCTCCCAGCGCCACCAGCAGAGCACAGCAGCAAGGAGTCAGTGGCGGGCACCTGGGTGATTTGTTGGTGCTAAGCTGTTATTAATAGTGTAATAGCTACTTGCACAAGATTATGACAGCACTTGGCTCACTCAATTCCCATAATGCTCGTGTTTCGGCTTCCCTGCTCCCACGCCTAGCCCAAATCTGTCGAAACTACAGAAAATAAAATATTTTTTTGCAAATCGTTTAACTAGTGATCTCCCTGAAGGTGTCTTTCCATTTCCCAAGTGTGCCTAAGACCCAGGTTTCAGCTTTGGAAAGTTGCCTTATCTAAGCTGCACGTTTGAGAAATAAACTCGAAGCCAGCTGCCTTTGTCTACTTCCTCCTGCGACAGGCTGCCGCTAGTCCCTGAAGGCGCATCACTGCCTTGGGGGACTCTCAGACCATTCCTCAGCCATCTCTCCGAGACTCCCGGGAGACTTTATCCCAACGGGTAATTCAGCTGCATATTCTACAAGGGAAGATGAATCTATTTGAGAAATTCTATACATAACATCTAACCTACTCAACCAGAGAAAGCACAGCCACAAAATGATCCCAGGCAAATAACTCTAAAACTGGGAGGGGACCTGCCCGCCCTGGACTCACGGTCCAAATGGATTTGGTGTGCTGCAATCTACTTTTTAAAAAAATACATTTTTAATGATTGAACAATTTTATATTGACAGGAAAGTTGCCAAGAAAATAGAGAACTATCCCTCACCCGGTGTTCCCTAATATTAACGTCTTAACGTTACCACCTTACATTTTTCAAAATGTTTCTTTCATCACAAACTCCAAAAGGCACACAATAGTGTACTTTCAAGAGTATCACCCTGATTTCGAAGTTTCATCCCCCGGATATTCTGAGCGTGTTTAATTACAGTAGGTGTAATTACCATCAATGATGCAAGTGGTAAAGGAACTCCTACAGCGAGTTTCTCACTCACACAGCCAGCCAGGGAAAGAAAATGCCAGGACCCCGCAGCACTTCAACTTTTGCCTGGATTTCTGCTTTCGGAAGTTCTCCTGGGCGGCCCGGTGACACGGCCGCGCACCGAGATTCCCCGGGGACCTCTACCTGTCCGGCCGCAGAGCGCGCGTCGCAGGGAGCTCCAGAGTTCCACCGAGCAGAGCAACCGACGGCTCCCGGTGGGAGCACCGCAGCGAGGGGCGGTCCGCGAGTAGAGCCGCAGCCCTCGAGGGGCGCCCGAATCTCGTTCCGCGCACCAGGGCCACCAGGGAGCAGAGAGGAGGGCGCTCCCCGGAGGTGGTCCCCCTGACAAGGACGCTGAGGCGGGGGAGGGGGACTCTACGAGTCCAGTTGCCAAAGCAAGGGTCCCCCCCAGGGGCCTTCGGTAGAACAAAGGCGGGGGGGGGGGCGCAGAGGGGCAGAGAAGAGAGCAGACCACAGGACGCGCGACCCCGGCTCGTTCGGCATCGCGCCCGCCCGCCCCCGCTCAGCCCGGCCTCCCGGCAGGTGCGGCGGCCGGCCGCCTGGGCAGCCCGGCCGGACTCGCGTGCCGGCGCCCCACTCACTTGTCGTACTCCTGTGTCATCGCGCTCGTTCGCCGCTGCCGGGCCGCAAAACTGGACTTTCGGGTTGGGACAGTACACCCGATCCGGGGGGAGGCGGCGGCGTCGGCGGCAGGTCCGGAGCGGCGGCCCCGACGGGTTGGGTTCGCTTTTCTCGCTCTGAGCCGGTCCGCGCGGGCTGCGCTCACTGGGCGTCTGTGCTCCGCCGCCCATTGGCTGGCGACACGCCGGCTCGGGGCGGGGCCTCCGGGCAGGGGGGCAGGCAGTGCCTCCTGATTGGCCGGAGCGCGGGGTACCGGGACCGGGGCGACAGTACCGAATGGCGGGGCGGGGATAGTATCCGCGTCGTTGTGGCCCGCCCCGCGCCGGGGGCCTCCTGCACGGCCGACTGGCATGGTTACGATGCTCCCGGCATTCACCTGACGCCCCTAGGCGTACCGCCGTGCACCCACGCGAGGGCGGCTGGGTGCTGTGTCTCTGCTCCGTGTTGCCGTCGCGCCCTCCGCCGCCCACCTGCGAAATGGGGCGTGCTTTGGCGCCGCCTTCCCGGGCGCTGGGCGCTCTCCTCTCGCTGCCGCCCACCCATGCCCTCTGCTCGCTGCCCGGCGTTGGAGACTCCCCACCCGCAGTTGCAGCCCTTCAGGCGGCTTCCCTTCTGAAGTTTCTAAAGCTCCCGGACCTCCTCCTGTCCCCTCTTAGGCCGCATGTACTTAGGAGGCCTCTGGCTTTTCCCCCTTAGCCTTAGAACTCCCATCTGGGCTTCAACTCCCCTAAGCCTAAACCTCCCCTCCAGAGCTCCGTCCCCAGGCTCAGCCTCTCCTACCCCTACGCTCCTTCCAGCCCTCGTGTAGTCTCAGTCTTTCCACCGCGCCTCCATTCCTTTCCACCCCAACCCCAGGCCCCGCGGTCCTTTCTGAGGTAAGACCCTTCTTATCCAGGGTCTGCCATTCCACAAATATTTGTGAACAGACCTACTATGTGTCAGGCACTGATCTAGAAGCTGGGGATAAGCCAGTGAACAACCCGACAAAAGCCCTGCCTTCCTCCAGCATCCTTCTGCTTGGGGAAACAGACCATTTTAAAAAGTAAATTATATGGTATGTTAGAAAGTGGCGAGTTCTATGGGAGAAAGAGCAGGCAGCTGGGGAACATGGGGTGGAGTCAGGGTGAGAAAAGGTGAGGAAGAGAGTCCCTCAGGGGGTGGGGGAGGAGGGGGCCAATAGTGGCGCAGCCTTGCCGCAGGTGGGGGCAGTGAATGGCAGCACAGGGGCGGTGTAGGCCTGTGTGTGGACTGGTTTTTACCGAGTGAGGTGGGGCAGCTTTGGAAGGTTCGGATTCAGGCAGGGATGTGATATCACTCACGTCTTGAATAATCTGGCTGTTGGGTGGTGGGCGGACAAAGGCCAAAGATAATGATGGTAGTTTGGCCTGGGGCAGGAAAATGGAGTGGTGAGAACGGGTCAAATTCTAGATCTTTTCTGAGGGCAGAACCAACAAGAAAGATATCCTGAAAATCAGATATGGAATGCAAGAAAAACGAGAGTTGGGGCAAATATAAGGTTTTCAGTTGAAAGCTGGAAGGAATGACTTGCCAGTCTCGAGCTGGGAAGACCCAGGGCACGGGGCTAGGGGCGGTTAGGAGTCCCGTTCTGGACATAAACTCAAGATTTTTATTAGAGATCCAAGTGCTTGTATCGGTAGACGATGGATCGTGAGTCTGGGGTGCAGTGGAGACGTCTGGGCTGAATGGACAAAGGGGAGACATCAGCTCAGAGACTGTGTCAGAGGCCTGTAAGTGGAATTGTTCCCTACCACGGTGAGGGAAGACAGAACAGGACTAACGCAGACGGGCTGGACGAGGAGGACCCAGCAGCAGCAGGGATGGAAAGGGGGAATCACGGATGTGGGAGAGAAGTCGAAGCTGAGAGAAGAAAGCGAGGCAGGAGAAAGGTGTGGTCAGCAGGTCACAGGCTGCCCGGAGGCCAATTAAGTGAGGATTTAGCAACCTGGAGGCCACTGGGGCCTTTATTCAGCTCCCGCTGTCCCTCATCTACCGTGGCAGCTTCCTGCTCCCTGTTCTCCAGGCCCCTTGGGACCTAAATCAGCAACCACAGACCCTTCTCACTGTCCCCTCCTGCCATTTTTAGGACCTGTCCCTAAGCCTGGGACAGTGCTGGAGCATGGAGCCTGCTCTTTTTTTCTAATTCACTTTTTTTCTTTTTGTTTGTTTAAATAAGTTATATTTTTAAATGATCTCTTTCCAGAAAAATGTTCAGTAAATGATAGGACAGGTGGTCCACAGGTACAATGCAAATCCTCAGTTATGCTGCTGAAGTGACTCAAGTTGGGAAACGATGTTCTCTCTCTTCTTCCTCTGACCCAGCTCTAGGCCTGGCCAGAGTAGCCTCTCAGATTCCCAACTTCAGGTCATGTCACCCTGTTACACTCAAAATGAGGCTCCAACTCCTTAGCAGGGCCCGTAAGGGAACAGCTCAATCTTAACTTTTTCGATTCCGCTCCTTCTGGAGCTGCTCAGGGCGATGCACCTCCCCACCCCCAGTTCCCTGCTCCTCCCCTTCCTGCTCGCAAGGTCCATTCAACCTGCCAGACTCAGCAGGACTCCCCATTCCCCCAGAGAGCTAGTACCACCTGGACCACATCCTGTTGGTGACATGAGATTCTCTGTTTGTCGCCACTATAGTGGGAACTTTTTCAGGAGAGGCCAGGGATTGTATGCTTTCGTGTTAATGTCCCAGCTTCCTGGTACACACAGAAAATATCCAATACTCGTCTATTGAGTGGGTACATTCCTTTGTGGGCATCTGTTCCGCTCCGATGTCCTTCTTCCCTCCTGTGCCGTATCTGGGACTGATTTACATGACCTTCTTGCTGCAGAAGACCAATGACCTCATGCCTGATACACACAGGCACACAATAAATATGGGAGGAATGAATGAATATCAAACCGTAAAACCAAAAACAAGAGCCATAAGGACCCAAGGTTATTAGACTTCATGTGTATTAACTTAAACAAAAACAGTTGGTCTGTCTCGTAAAGTGAATATAGGTTTATTTAGGGTATCTCTGAGGGCTCTTTAAAGCAGAAATTAAAATCCATGCCTATGAGGTGTTGGCATTATTTTCATTTTTATACTATTTTTTTAATTAAAAAATAATACATGCTCATAGTTTTATTTTTTTAAAGCAAAAAGAAAGGGAGAAGTAAAGGGGAGAAAAGGAAGAAGGACAAGAAAGTGAGAAATTTAAAACCACCCAAGGTTTAGAGAGTCCTTCTGTCCTCTACCCTTCCCTCGCCCCAGTCAGCCAGTGGTAACAGTTTGTGTGTCTTTCTAGATATTTCCAGTATATCTACAAGCACACAGACGTTTTATTTTCTCACACAAATGGGACTCATGCTGTGCATCTTCTCAGCTTGCTCACTTCACTTCCTGTGTCTTCACCGTTTTCCACCTCAGCACAGAAACAACTACTGCACTTAAAAAACACCCTGGCTGGTGTGGCTCGGTGGATTGAGTGTCGGCCTGCAAATCAAAGGGTCACGGGTTCGATTCCAAGTCAGGGGACATGTCTGCATTGCAGGGCCAAGTCCCCAATAGGGGACACATGAGAGGCAACCACACACTGATGCTTCTCTCCCACTCTTTCTCCTTCCCGTCCCCTCTCTCTAAAAATAACTAAATGAAATACTTAAAAAGATCTTTTTTAAATGGCTGTATATTATTTCTTTGTGTTGGTGTATGAGGACTTAGCTAGACTCTGTTGGTGAGCAAGGAAGGTCCTTCTCCCCATTTGTTGTAACTACGAACAGCCAGTAACAGCCCCCTAACTCTACACTCTGCACCCATGATCGAGGAGAGCCATGGGGTAAGCCTAGACCTGGAGCTGCCGTGAGAAAGGTGTGCACAGTTGCAGCTTTTATAGATCTTACCAAATGGTTCCCAGAAGGCTGCCCCACTTAGACTCCTAGCAATGGGGTGGGGGTATCAGACTGCCCAAGGGGCCCTCCCCCCTCCTCCAGAGTGGGGACTGACTTTGGAAGCCTCTCTGGTAGGGGACCATGTGGTTCTAGGAGACTGTGGAAGCAAAGAGTCAAGGGGGGGGGGGCGGTGAGTAAATAGAGACACAGACCTGGATTCCAGCCCAGGTTCCACTGACCCACAGGGTGACCTCCGTGGAGTCACTTCTCTCTGGGCCTCAGAGAAAGGAGGAGGTTGGACGGGTCATCTGGTCCCTTCCAGGTCCAATGTCCTATGTCTCCAAGAATGGTTGCTAAGAGTAGTTCTGACACTAACCACCCCCCGTTTACAGACTGAAGCTCCTTAGTCTGGCACCGAAGTGCCTTCTCCATCTGGCCCGACATACATTCCCAATTTTATGTCCCAGTGAAAAGCCCCAGTGCCCTGGGCCCTGTCACCGTGTCCCCTGAATGCACCCTGCAGGCTCAGGCCCCCGGTTGTCCCGCCATTCCTCCACCCCCCTGCGCCCCACTCCTGAGCCTTCTCACGGG